GCGGAGGAGGGAACCAACTCTCCTCTGGCGCTGTCAGCGCTACCCAAAGGAGGGCCGTGGTCAGGCGTGTGGGTCCCTGGAGGCCCTTGCGCCAGCCACAGAGTTGCTTGGCCCCAGACCCTCCTGCTGACCCCCAGACCCTGCTCTCCGGCAGCACGCAGCCGGATCGCCAGAGGGAAGCCGCAGGGCAGCCGGGCGACTCCCAGCCGGACCTTCCGTGCTGAAAGCGGGCTCTTCTCGTACGGACAGTATCTCCTTGGCACATGCCTTTCCCCTGGGGTCCGTGCCCCCCCCCCGCCCTCCTTTCTGAGACCACTGCCCTTCCTCCCTGAACACGCCGGCTTCCCTGGGCTGCCCTCGGTGAGCGAGCGTGGCTCCTCTCCTTGGCAGAGAGTGGTTGGATGACGTCTTCTTAGACCCCAGCAATTCTCTGGTCATTAACTACAAGGTTACCTGGAGAGGGAGGCTGGCAGAAGGCTTCGGGGTGGCTTGTTGTGCGCATGTGTGGGGGGGGGGGGGGGGGGAGAGGAGTGCATATTGAGCACCAGCCTAGGGCATATCCCTGCTGGGTGAATGCAGATGTCCCTCCTCCTTCCGCAGAGGGGCCCTGAACAGCCCCCGCCTGGTTCGCAGGGCTGCAAAGAATGGGCTCTGGGCGCCCACTCTCCAGGCAAGCTCTGCGTCTTCCAGCAGCCGTCTCTCGCTCTCGCTCATCCTCCGAGGCCTGGGTATCTCCTTGCTCCCTCCTCCCACGGGACGGGAGCAGGACGCAAAGCTTGCCAAGAAGCCTGAGTCACGGAGCGGGAAGGGGGCCCACAGCATCAGTGGCGGCTTGAGGCCAAAAGATGCTGCCTGGTTTGCTGGCCTGCACCGCTGGGGAGGTTCGGGAGCTTTGGATCCCCCACTTAATGCAGCACAGGGTTGCCAACTCTGGCTTGGGAAATCCCTGGGCGCTTGGGGGGTGGGGCCTGTGGAGAGCAAGGAAGGGAACCGGGCAGGGGCATGAAGCCAGAGAGGCTGCCCCCTGAAGCGGCCCTCGCCTCCCAGGGGAACTCGCCTCTGTAGTCCAGAGACTAGTTCGAATCCTAGAATCGCAGAGTTGGAAGGGATCCTGCAGGCCATCCAGTCCAGCCCCCTGCTCAGTCCAGGAACAGTCTACAAGTGTTTGTCCAGACGCTGCTTAAAGACGGCCAGTGAGGGGGGGCTCACCACTTCCCGAGGCGGCTGATTCCATGGCTGCACAACTCTTACTGTAAAAAAGCTTTCCCTAAAATCCAGCTGGTACCTTCCCGCCCTTAATTTAAACCCATCCCCACGAGTCCTCTCCTGTGCTGCCCACAGGAACAGCTCCCTGCCCTCCTCTAAGTGTCAGGCCTTCAAATACTCCACGAGAGCAATCCTGTGTCCCTCCTCGACCTCCTCTTCTCCAGACTAAGCATTCCGAAGTCCCTCCGCCTTTCCTCACAGGGCTTGTTCTCCAGGCCCCCGATCATCCTCGTCGTCACTCTCCTCTGCACCCGCTCCATTCTGTCCACATCCCTTTTGAAGGGAGGCCTCCAGAACGGCACACAAGACTCCAGGTGCGGCCTGACCCATGCAGTGTACAGCGGGACTAGGACATCTTGTGATCTGGATGTTATGCCTCTCTTGATACATCCCAGGATCGCATTAGCCTTTTTTGTCACCGCATCACACTGGCTGCTCATATTCCACTTTCGGTCCATCCTTACCCCAAGGTCTTGTTCACATACACTGCTACTCAGAAGTGTATTCCTGGTCCAGTACGTGTCTTCCTCATTTTTGTTACCAGATGTAGAACTGGACACTTACCCTTGTTAAATTGCATCTTGTTCACATCCGCCCATTTTTCTTGCATGTTCAGATCTCATTGAATTCTATCTCTGTCTTCTGGTGTGTTTGCTGCTCCTCCCAATTTGGTGTCCTCTGCAAATTTTATGAGTGGCCCCTCCACACCTTCATCCAGATCATTGATAAAAATATTGAAAAGTACCGGGCGCAGAACCGAGCCCTGTGGCACCCCACTGGACACCTCCCTCCGTTCAGATGAAATGCCATTGGCAGCTACTCTCTGAGTACTGTTCTCCAACCCGTTGTAATTGTGGAGAACTCCAGGCACAACCTGGAGGTTGGTAACCCTGGTGCAGTTTCAGGAAATCCTCCCAGTTCCAGGCCAGTGGTCCACGTCAGGTCTGAAGCCTCAGCATAGGCGGGAGGAAGCATCCTTGCAATCCCTTTGGACACCCCAGTGTTGGGACGCAGAACCTCTCGGAAATGCTCCCTAGGGGGATAAGCCCAGGGCCCCCCAGCAAGACTCCTGGCTGCCAGGCACGCCACCCCAGGGTCCCCGAAGAGAAGACAGCCGGTGGATCTTGCTTACGGCAGTGGGCACTGCAGAGGCTGACCAAGGGGCCAGCCCTGGCGAAGAGGAGTGACTCCTTGCTCCCTCTCCCCAGGGGACGGGGAGGGCTGCGTGTCCTGGGCCCCAGAGCCTTCAAACCCCTCTCAGCATAGAGCAGTTGGGGCCAGTCAGGGACCTCTGGACTGCCTCCACTGCTGGCACACAGAAGCCCCCATCCCCACCACCTCCTCCAGAACTGGGCAAAAGGTTCCCCTGAGGCAGAATCGTAAGAGTTGGAGGGGGCCTCCAGGGCCATCTAGTCCAACCCTCTGCACAAGAGAGGGCATTCACAAATACCTCCCCCTCCACACACACCCTGGACCTAGAGACACCAAATTCGAGCAGAGTGCTCCTACCATAGCGTAGGTGCTCACTAAGAAGGGATTGTTAGAAATTCGACCCCTAAGGGGGTCAAAAGGGGGAAAATGTGCTCCCCCCATTGATTCCTATGCAGCTGTCAGGCTGATGCCTCCTTGCACCCCCCCCCACTCTCTGATTGGTCAGCTGCAGAGCTCAGTGTTCTGAGGTTTAAAAAAAAACAGTTACAGGGGATTGCAGAGAGCCAATGACAGTTGAGGAAATCAGGAGTGGCCAACTGCCTGTGAGGTGAAGTAAAGCTGCTGGCCCAGCCTCTCTGATGGCTTCCAACACACTCCCCCCACCTCCTACACCTAACAGGTGGCTGTCTATCAGGTGCAGCAGCGGTTGCAGGGTGCTTAAAGCCATGAGGGAGCTCACCCCAGCAGTAACGCCTTAGTGATCCTGCTGGCCCCGCCCCCACAGTGGCTTCTAATACTCCTCCCCCTCCTACACTGGACAGGCAGCTGCCTGTCAGGTGTAGGAGAGGAGGTGGGATGCTTACAGCCGCCGGGGAGGTTTGCTCAGCAAGATTGCCTTAGCCCTGCTGCTGGACCAGCCTCCCTGATGCCTTTAAACATAATCCCCCCAACACCAGACAGGCAGGTGTCTGTCAGGTGTAGGAGCAGGACCAGTGTACTTTAATCCATCAGGGACGCCACCCCAGCGGGATCACCTTAGCGATGCTGCTGGCCCAGCCTCTCTGATGGCTTCCAACACACTCCCCCCACCTCCTACACCTAACAGGCGGTTGTCTATCAGGTGCAGCAGCAGTTGCAGGGTGCTTAAAGCCATGAGGGAGTCCGCCCCAGCAGTATACAGAGAAGTCCTTCCGTAGAGAAAAAAAGTACGTATGTCTCACTTCATTTCTTACACTACAGTCTTTTCCATTAGAATTCCTACAACAAATGTCACATCATCAGTATTATAACTGGATTTACGGAACCTAAATACCATAGCGAAGCACGGGTAGCAGGCTAGTCTTCTATATGACAGCCCTTCACGTACCTGAAGATGGTTCTCATATCCCCTCTCAGTCGTCTCCTCTCCAGGCTCAACATGCCCAGCTCCTTCCACCTTTCCTCATAGGACCTGGTCTCCAGGCCTAGTTCTTTTGCTGCCTGCTGATGTACAGACCACCACCTGTCCCCAGGACTGGTACAGAGGCGACTCCGGTGCCCTCCTGCCTGGTCGCACTGCTGACCGAGGCCATCAACCACAAGCCCCACTAGCTCTTCTTTGCCTGGCCCAGTCTGAACGGAGGTTGGACTGCAGGAACCTGAGCGGCTGCAGGAGAGGTTTCCTGCAGTGCCCACTCCTGGCTGGTGGCTTCCCACCCCGGGTGGAGGCCTAGGCCTCTGTGCCCTGTGTGTGGGCACTCCAGGGCAAGTGGTGGTCCACAGCTGGAACAGGCTGCTGGGATAGGTGTTTACAATATATGAATCATACAACTGTGATAAAGAAGCATTCACAATTAATTTCTGAAGTGATTATTACAGAAGATAATACAATAGAAACAGAAACGAAAAGGCGGGACGGTGGTCTCCGGATTGGTGCTGCCGTTTCGACAATATGTCTTCTTCTGACAATATGACAATATGACCTATTATAGCTTCTCAAGCTATAAGAAAACTCATGAGTATGCAGCTTTTTGTTGCTTGAGGTACTTCACATTGACTGGCACAATTTTTGGTCAGAAGAAGACATATTGTCGAAACGGCAGCACCAATCCGGGGACCACCGTCCCGCCTTTTCCCAACCCATTGCTGGAAACCCTAGATGGATCCGGCAGGGTTCTTCCTCGGGGAGGGAATCCCTTTGGCTGAAGCAGAGCTGCCTTCTGTGGGTGACTGAACTCTCCCGTGCCCGGAGTGTTTGGGACTTGCCTCTTGGAAACTGCAGGGCTCTGGTGGGTTTTGCAAGGGAACAGAAGCTGTTGTGGCAGGAGGGGGGGGGCAGCTGGGTAGAAGAGCCAGGGCCGCGGCCGCCAAATGAGTGATCCGCTTGCTGTGGCCCTAGACAGGAGGAGACAGTGAGGATGCCCGCGCGTGCTGTTTTCTCTGGGAACGGGCTGCCCTGGAGGTGAGGGAGCATCAGCTGGGGGATGCTGAACAACCACCCCTTTCCTGTGCAGGTTGTGTGTTTGTGTGGGTGTGTGTCCCACCGCCCGAGACATTCTCTGACCCCTGCTTTTGCTTTCCCTCCCTCTCTCCCCCCCCCACAGACTTTTCAGTAGTTTAGGAGAACTGAGCACCATTTCCCAGCGAAGCTCTGGCACCACCTACACCGTGCGTCCCGGCAGCCGCTACCCTGTGACCCGCCGCACCCCCAGCCCGGTGAAGCCGACCCTGGATCGGACAGACCCGCTCAGCACCGTGCGGCCCTACGGGCTCACCCCGCCCACCATCCTCAAATCTTCCAGCCTCTCCATCCCGCACGAGCCCAAGGAGGTGCGCTTTGTGGTGAGGAGCGTCAGCGCCCGGAGCCGCTCCCCGTCGCCCTCGCCCTCCCCGGGGGGCCCCCTGCACACCCTCCACCCGCCCCGGCCCTTCATGCAGAAGCCCCTGCACCTGTGGAACAAGTACGACGTCGGGGACTGGCTGGAGAGCATCAACCTGGTCGAGCACCGGGACAAATTTGAGGACAACGAGATCGAGGGCACCCACCTGCCGGCCCTGACCAAGGAGGACTTTGTGGAGCTGGGGGTGACGCGGGTCGGGCACCGCATGAACATTGAGCGGGCACTCAAGCAGCTGGTCGACAGCTGACCCTTCTGGGCAGCCCTGGCCTCTTCCGGGGCCGGCTCGCTAGCGGGTGGGGGGCCACGCCTCCCAGACTAGGAAACAGGAACCCTTTGGATTCTCTTTCTACTCTGACCACTGCACTGAAGGGCGGGGAGCTGGCGGGGACCCCCTCTCTCTCCCCCTCTCTCCCACACGTCGGGCCCCACGTGCGCCTGGCCTCTCTCTCGGGGATCAGGGATGTCGCATGGAAGACCCCCGCCTCCCCGGTCTCTTTCCCCCCTAGGAAAGCTGGCCTTCATCTCACGGGATGTGCCCTTCCTCGGGAGAGTCACTGAGGGACCGGGGGGGGAGAAGGGGGGCTCTCCTCTCAAGTCTGCCATGTCCATATGGCGGACGTTGCTCCAGGCTCCGAGCACAGGCAAGGGGAGCTTGCGGGAAGGGGGGGGAACGGTTTGTGGGATCTGAACATGGGCAAGAGCAGTCTGTCCCGTTAGAGCTGGGGGGGGGGAGCAGCTGTGAAGGGCTGATTGCGTCTTGATGCAGCGGCACTTTATTCGTCTCTGGAGTGCAGAGTGGTCATTTGGAGGGTCAGGTGCCAACTTGCGGGGGGGGTGTCTTTAGAAAAGGGCTGGCCCCGAAAGTGGCTCGATGTGTGATCTCCAAGGAGGTATGCACTGGCGTGAGCAGTCCATAGGTGGGGCCCACAGGCCTGAAAGTGGCATCTGTGGGGGGGGGGCGTCCGTTGCAGAGAGAGGGCGCTGGTGACGCCACGGCAGGAGAGGAGCTTCTGTCGGTTTGCTGGAAGCCAGCAGGAAAGGACGGAAAGGGAACCCCGCGTAGGAAGTCAGCAGGCTGTCTCTCCCCCCCCCCTACACACACACACACACACTGCTAGCGCCCCCCCATCCCAACTCCTCCCAGTCCTGCCCCAAGGAGCCCTCTCATTGCCAGGAGGACCAGCAGGAAGCACCGGCTGTGAGGGTGAGAGAGACACACACACATACGCGCGCACACACACTCAAAGAGAAGGCCCCCGCCTCTTGGAGGACTCTGTTCCTTTGCCCTGGGGAGGGAGGGGGGCGAAGTCGCATGGATAGAAGCATGTTTGGGGGCATCGAAGGGAGGCAAGTGGAGAGTCCCGCCGCTTCTGCTTTGCCAACATTCACGGGGGAGGGGGGAGGTCTCGTTTTCTCTGGGGTCATGGGACGCATCGAAGGAGTCTCTATAATCTCTGTGCATTTCTGTCGATCTGCCGGTGATCCAAGCAGGAGGGTCTGCCGGGGCCAGAATTCCCACCCGCTCCGTCTTAGTCACTCATTTTTGCATCTTTTTAATCAGCTATATATTTGAAAAGGGGAAAAAAGAACAAATATCTATATATCTATATCTATAGCCACCTTGTTTTGTTATGGTTTACTAAAGCTATATCTTGCTGGGCGGGGGGCACTGTGCTGCTTCCCCCTGCAATGCTTGTGGGAGTTTTTAGTGAATGAATGAATGAATGTCGGGGAAAGTTCTTTTAAATCTGCTTTCAGAGGCTCTGAAGTTTAAAGAAGGGGGGGCAGAATTGCACTTGGTTCTGGGGATGCACCACGTCTTCCATTCTTGCTGGGCAGAGCTGCAGGGGGGAGCTGCCTCAGTCCACACCCCTACTTCCCTGCATGCCACACAGTGGGCTGTATGGGGTTGCCAGCCTCCAGGTGGGGCCTGGAGATCTCCTGGAATTGCAGCTGGTCTCCAGACAGTGGGAATCAGTTCCCCTGGAGAAAACAACTGCTGTGGAGGCTGGACTCTGTGGCATTGCACCCCGCTGAGTGGGCAACCCTAAGCTGCATTGAGTGCGAGAGCCAAGCTGCTGGACTTGCCAGGCTCCATCCCCAAATCTCCAGGAATTTCCCAACCCGCAGCTGACAACCCTCCAGAGCCCAGGCCAGTGAAGGGGGTTAGTGTAGGGGAGTCACTTTTCCAAGACAGGAGCTGGCAACTCTGGGGCGCTAACAACTCTCGGCCAAGTTGCCCCTGACAAAACTGTTCAAAGGGGATCCAAGATCCCATCTGCATGCAGCCCAGTCCCCCAGGGCTGGGCTGGCTGGGGCCAAGGAGTGGTCCAGTATGGTGCTGCTCTCGGAGGGGATTTGTCTGCCTGGCCCCAGCTCTTGATCCTGAGACCAGGCAGGACACGAGGGGCTCTCTGCAGACACGGTGGACAGAGGAAAGCCTCTCCTCCAGCCCCAGTTCTGAGGTGGTTTGGTGGCACTTGTGGATCTGGGAGTGGCTGAAACCTCCCTTCCCAGCCCAGCCCATGCAAGAGTGGTGAGAAATGGCCTGTCTCTCACAAGGCTATGCTGGGGGGGCATTTCCCTCTGTAAAGGCATTGGGATGGATCCGACTGTTCTCCAAGGAGCCTTCCTCCAAGGGAGAGCCGCCTAGGTTAGAGTGGGCTTCTTAGGCTGGGGGGAGACTTCTCACTTTGGTCAGTGGAGTGGGAGGAGAGAGGTAGGATCTATTCATTCTTCTGGGACTACAGAGCAGGAAGAAAGAAACCCTTGCCTGCCCGCATTCTCCCCCGAATGTTTCCAAGCTTCCTTCCAAGCAGAGGTAGGCGGTGAGCCCCCCAAAATTCAGGCACACTACCTTTGACTAGCTCCTGCTGGGTCAGGAGGGTGCTTTCCCAAGCCTCTCTGCAGGTGCCCAGCTGTGGCTCAGGTCTTGCCTCCCAGACCCCAAGGGATTTGGGAGATGCTGAGCCACCCAGCTGGGCAGCGTGCAGGGTCCACTGATGGCCTGTCTCTGCCTCCCTGTCACCTCAAATTAGGCATAGCTGGAGGCAAGGAGGACGGGACAGAATCCCTGGTGCTGGGATTTCTCCAGTGCCCCCAACTGGCCACATACAAACACGAATAAGCACAGGAAGCAAGCAAGATTTTCCTTTCTCAGCTTCTTTCTAGAGAGTAAGATGTGCTCCTGGCCCGTCTGCACATTTAACTTTTGATGCTGATTTTTAAACAGCATGTTTGCGAGCAGGGAAATATTCCTTGTTCTCACTGGGGGGGGGGGGATGTGCAAGCTTAGTCATGTGCTTAGTACCAACCCTCTTCCTATATGTCCTGGGCATCCGGAACACAAACTCGTGTACCCTCCCTGCCCCTGGTGTTGCCCTCCCTCACCCTCAAGCAGCAGCATACATTTAGGGAGCAAGCCTAAACAGGTCTACTCAGAAGTAAGTCCCGTTTTATTAACTGGAAAGTGTTCTTTCGGCCCATTTTCAGACCACAACAAGCTATGGTACCAAACCTTTATTTGTAAGATATTTAAAATATTTTTACCCCCCCCATTCTCCATGTAAAACATTCGAGGCAGCTAATAACATGAAGTAATTAATAGTAAAAGAAAATTAATGAAACCAGTTCCCATAAACCCTATTGCTATGATATAAGCAGAGCCGCATCAGGATGTTAGCCTCAGGCATTCGCTGGTGCAGGCATTTTGACCTTTGGCGTAAATGTCAGCAAAGCCAGTGGCCCTTGAGCCTCCCTTGGGGAGAGAATCCTCTGTTTCAGCCACTTGCCTTTCACCAGAATTAACTTATCCATAGTTGGCTTCAAAATATAGATAACCCCCCCAAAAAAAGGTAATAAACCCCCAATAATCCATAAAATGGAATCCTGTTATTTCCTTTGTGTGACGGTCCCATGGCCTTCCGGAAGAGAAATGCCCAAAGTCTGATACTGGGGTGGGTGGGGGAGGGCTGTCAAGGGGGTGTGCCTCAGGTCTGGCACTGCTGATCTCACCTCTGAGCATGTAGGAAGCGTATGTAAAACTTGCCCTGGAGAATCCACGTCAAGCCCATAAAACCTCCCTGATTTTTATGACACAAAGCCCGCCACCTAAACGCGCTCAGATCCCCTAAACCGTTGAACGGCTTCACTACCTGCCTGTTTTGTGCTGTCATGCCCTGTCGCTGAATACCTCCTCCACAGGTGCCTTGATGACACAACTTGCTCTTGTGTTCTAAAGGACCACTGGCATTCCCGCCACACGTGGTGTGTGTCTACAGTCCCCCTTCCTGGCTGCCTTTGCTGTATTCCTTTTCCATTCGAGTTGTGTGTCCCGTCCTCTCCCAGTGAACCCCCACCCATCACTAGTGCCCCCTGGGTAGCATGCCACAGGGCTTCCCTCGCCACTTCTCTGCCAGGCAGGCGTGTGCCGCAGGGAGTGACCGTGCAGGGCAATGTATGTGGCCCCCACCAGGAAGCTACACACACACACATACCCCGCCCATCTTGTGCTCTCCACAGTCATTTGTCCTTCTGTCCCTTTCATCCCTGGGATGTGCTGGTGGCATTCCCAACTGGATTGAAGACGGCCCCTTCATTAAGAGGTCCCAGGCAGGGAGCGGTGGCGTTCCTCTTCAAGGAGCCAAGAGTGGTGGGGCCTCATCCCCTGCCGCCTCCCTGCTTGCGGGCATCACCTTGCCTCTTTGAGCTCCAGCCCCTTCAGGACGGTCCCTTGGCCCCTGCTGGTGGTGGGTGGCCCCTTCTCACTGACTGCAACACACACACACACACACCCTGTCCCATCCTCCCCCCTATTCCTGGCACACACACGAGCAGCTGGTTGGAGTCTTGCTGGCTGGCTACATGCCTGAGTGCAGGTCCCGGGTCTCTGTCCCTTGTGCAGCTGCTTCTGGGGCACTGTGAGGAGACCCTGCCCGCACCCCGCCTCCTCTGGAGGAGGCTTGGAGACTGCAGACCGCAACAGGGTCTGCAGGAAGTTCCCTTTGGGACTGGGGAAGCCCAATGCCTCTGCCTTGGTTCGGAAGAGACCTCGCTTTCCCAGAGGCCCCGCGTCTCTTCTGGAGAGTTGCCGAGCGGCACGAGGCTTATCTCTGCCGCTCACCACAAAGGCCAGCAGAGTCCCCCGGAAAGGGGGCTGCCCGGCTTCTACCCCACCAAGCAGCTGCAGCCGTAACTGTGCTTGCGAGCACTGCGTGGAACCCTCGACGCGAGGCCGAGGCTTCGAGC